ATATCCTCATCATCCGCCTATAACACCACATTTCGAACGCTTCTAACCTTTTCTTTTCCGCCGCTCCCACTGTCCATGTTTCACACCCGTACAACGCCGTGCTCCAAACATACACCTTTAACAACCTTTTTCGAATTTCTAAATTAACCGTTCGCGAGCATAGAAGTGACTTCTTTTTATTAAAGGCGACAGAAAGAAAGAAACAATATGAACATTTTTTATTATAATGCTTAACGTTAAATCCATTTGCTAGAACAGGGCTGTCCAACTGGCGGCCCGCGGGCCGTATACGCCCTGCCAAATTATTTTTACGACCCACGAGTACATTTGACTATGAATAAATTTATGTTACTAAATTAATATTATTGATATTGTTGCTAAACAATTACGGCCACAATGTCATCATTAAAAAATTACGAATATTTTAGAGTTTTATCTTTAGTATAAATAAAATATTTTTTTAATTAACATGAACTAACTACATTTATAAATTTTCTTGGCCCCCGAAATGTTTGGTGAAGAAAATATGGCCCGCGGGCTATGATAAGTTGGACAACGCTGATATAGACTAAAGGATTTCAGATTGTTGCTTTACCAGAACCAACAAAAGCTATTTTAATGATATTTCAAATTTTTCCTGATGGATTTTAGACCTAGGTACCCAAAAAGTTTGGAATGATATTTCAAATTTCTACTGATTTGAGAGTTCCTAATTTTTTACTATTGCATAACACCAAGAAAAATATTATATTTCCAGTGGAGCCAGTTTTTATATCAAAAATTTAAAATCAGTTAGGAATTACCTTAGCTGAAGGATTAGGAATATTTCATGCTGAAAAATCTTAAGGATTAACTCACCCCTGGCGGTCCAGACCATTGCAAAAGGATCTTCGACATCGGTGTAGTCAAAAAATCCACATAACGTGGGGGTGAGGTATGCTGCGACAAGCACAAGGGATATTTTGAGAGACCTAGCCATCTGTTTAGTTCTCACCACTAAATGTATTTGTACTGAGTGGTTATAAGCATCCTCGAACCTTTTATGACTTCTTTAAACAAATATAACGGAACAGGGGAACGATTCTCAAGACGCAAACGTAGTAAAGGTACATAGACCAGGTGCTCATTAGCGAAGACTTGCATGTAGGTATACCTGTGTACATTTTTCATGGATGTTTTCAGATTCTTTCTTAAATACTCGTTGTTTTCACAGACAGGTACGTCGAACATACAATAGGTCAGAAAGGAAAACGTTCCTACAAATATGTGTAATATTTCCCCTGTTGAAATTATGTCTTTTCATGTTTTCAAATTCAGTTAAAAACAATCAGGTCAAGTGTTGGTCATTTTTTATGTAGTACTAGCGAGCCGCCCCAGCTTCGCACGGGTGTAATGCTGATACTAAATATATTTTTGTTTTGTTTAGATTAGATTTCTTAAATAGACAACCCCTGAACACATTAAATATACTACAGAATGTCTTTATATACAACATTCACAGTTTTTTTGTCATTAGACAATACAAACCGGCCTCCCGGTCGGTACCGCCGCAACCGCTATGTTTGCATTTTAAATCTGTAATAACTTCGAAAATATTCATTTAAATTGCATGCTGTAAAGGACCATATTGATCTACATTAATGCACAATGTATTTAAGGTACTTAATTGGATAAGAATTAATGCCGTGTTGCTTAAAATCGTTTAGTAAATAAGTCATTATTTCTCATAAAATGTAAAGGATAAAAAATGGTTATTGTGGGTTATCCCTAAGAGATAGACATATACCATCGCGTACTTTTTAAGATGTACAATACTTTAGTACATTATTTTGATCTATATCGTAGGGTTCAGCCAGCGTTTGCAATGTTAGCGCAACAAAAATGTGTTTTACGACATCACATTGGAAATCTCTAAAATTATCGGTGTTTGTCTACAATATTATGCATGTATTATACATATAAACTTCCCCCTTGAATCACTCTATCCACTAAAAAAAACCGCCTCAAAATCCGTTACGTAGATTTAAAGATCTAAGCATACATAGGGACAGACAGCGGGAAGCGACTTTGTTTTATACTATATATAGTGATAGTGATAGTGATGTGGTAGGTCATCTTATCAGAAAATGTGACGTTTTTGCAATTTTAGTGGAAAAACGTCAAAAAACATGATTTTATTAGTATTGCTCAACATAATAATTTGAGAGCACAATTTGAGTCGGTTTTTTCTCTTCCGATACTGTTCTGGAGCTCCTTTCGTAAACACATGACGTCTAATAATACATTAAACATTTGGTTAAACTGCTTTAGAAATAAATCTGCTAGAATAATTAGGGGTGTCTCGATAAAATGAAATAAAAGAATATAACGTAAAGTTAAAAACGTTTGACAAATTTCAAAACTTTTCTCGCTACAACAGCTTCAAAGGAACCTAATTTCTCTTGAAAATATAAATTGAATTAATTTAATAAATCGTAACAAGATGGACTTTTCTAAATAACCGATCATAACAATATTTGTCCAATCAGTTACTTTTTGTCGCAGGGCTTTCTTTAGGATTAAGAGAATTATTAAGGACAACTAGGCACATATTTCCTTCGTTTTTATCGAATTGTAATTCACTAAAAACTAACCGAATAACTTGGTTTATTTAGGTAATTGTTTTCATAGTCTTCCTGTGGAGGAAATAATGTATTCAATGAACAATGTAGAGCATTGTATTATCTTCCAGATAATGGCAGTACTTACCAATATGTTTTAAGATAGTATGCGAAAAATTCAACATAAATATCGGTTTGGAAAAGCTAAGAGAAATGAAGTAGGAGAGCCGGACCATTTCTCATAGTCTGATGACTACAGTGATCAATTCCCTTAGCATATTCTTACTTATAAGCACAACGTTAGAAAATAAGAAATTAAAATGATACCCTTTTTCGTACAAATTTATTCGACCTCAAATTAAATTTCTTTACGACAAATTTTAATTGGAATTCGTAAATTATCTTAGTCAAAAACGTATTTCGATATAAATACAACTTAAAAACAGTAGTCTAAATGCTTAATTCCTTGGATGTAGCCTGGTCTATCAGTCTTGGGAGAGTTGGACCAGCTACAGATAGGACAGATAGTTCCTTTAACGTTACAAAAACTGCCGAATACAGTACGAAAGAGAAATTTAATTCGTAACAGGTATTGTGGTATCAAGATACAAGATACCAAGACAGAAAGAGATCATCATCATAGGGTCGTCAGTCCTATGATTGGTTGGACACGCACCTCCACTCTTTCTTATCCTGAGCTAAACTTCGTATTTTCCTAAAACTAGAACAACCCACATCCTTAACTATTTGCGAACAGTAATCTAATCTAGGTCTACCTCTACCCCTCCTAACTCATGTTTCTGCCTCTAATATGACTCTGATTAGACCTTCATGCCTGAGAAGGTGTCCTACCAACCTATCTCGCCTATTTTTTATTGACTTCCACAGGGTCCTCTGTTCTCCTATTCTCTCTAATACCTCTTCATTTCAATGAAAAAGAAATTTGAAAAGGCTAGGAACGTTTGTCAAGCTCAATTAGAATACCTGGTGAAGATGGAATAACAAGGAGCGATCTAAATGGCCGAATATTATTAATTTCGTTTCTATTCAAAACGCTGTTTACTCAGCGATTTCAAGCTTCAAAATCGATCAGTCTTAGTGTTATATTCAAATTATGTGTTGTGCGTAATTGGGGTACACCTAATTAAACGATTTGTAGCATTTCAAATTTTAATTTTATTATATTATATAACCTAACCTAATTTAAATTTGGAAAATTCTTGTGTTTAAACTTTAAAGTGAAGTAAGTTCCTATTGAACACCTAAACTTCATTAATCAAATAAAATATATTTCTGAATTGGAAAAGGTAATGTAGGTAGATGATTAAAAAATAAATTACTCCAACANAAGAACTTTAATATTCGCCTTCCAAAATTAATTACGTTACCAATTTTATGATAGATAAAGTTCGTTTATAGTAATAGCGCCAGTCCTCGCATAGTTGAATATCGCCTAAGTAAAATGAATATTGACTGTATGATTAAAAGTATCTGAACTAGGTAACGAATTTTGCCAGATTATAAGGAACATTGCATTCGCCGTGCAAGCCCTTTGTTTATCTTAATTAACGTAGTCGAACTGTCAATGTTTGCGGTCTTCCTCCACACTAAAAATTATTAATGGTCCAATTGTACTGGACAGAGGATATTGCGGCAGAACAATTTCAGCACGTCCGTGGACTAATTTAAATCTGCTAGGATTACGCGTCAAAAACTGCATTCTCCGCATATGTTCCGAACCGAAACAAAATATTAAACATTTGATAGTATAAGCTTCGAACACGGTCCCTTACGTAACCGGGTATTTGCATTCCTAAACATATCATCCTGGGCATTCGACGGTATGGCCTATTAAATTCCACAATGTGCACCGCGGTCGGAATGCTTGGCCTTCCTCATAGCCGCATACGATCCTAGCACCCGTATCAACATTAAGGGTACACAAACATGAACCTACATAATATCTATTTCTGAATAATGTGAAGGTAAGGTTGTAAGCTCGAAATAATAAAGGTGCTATAATCCACTGAAGACGTAAAGATGCCTATCATTATTCTTGTAATGAACTGTTACTCTTTAAATTACAATGTGAACATTTAATATGATTTTTAATGCAAATAAAACCCATCTAATTTTTCTTCAACTTTCATAATACAGTGTAAACTCTATATAACGCGCGTTGTACAATAAATAAAAATTGAGCAGTTTTGTTGATGTCTTTAACTAAATAAACTTCCACGATAAAGCCCATACGAGGTGATTTAAGCTTACAGTTTAAGATTTTGTGAGAAATCCAATGGATTTCAAAGTATTTCTAATCAATCACAAGATAATAAATTGGCTTAGCTCTCGCGACCGTCGACTGATAATAATGGATTGTTGGTTTTCGCGCCTGTGGGCTGTCGTTTACAGAACGTTTCTCAAACGCATGTAGTCGACATCCTCAGGAAGGCAATTTACAAAATTGGTTCTAAAAATTTTACGCGTACACGTCGTTACTTTGAAAAGTTTTGTATACAGTAGCAACGTAGACCAAAAGTGTTATTAACACCCAGTGTTGGGAAAAATTAAATTGTTGGACAATTAAAAATTAACAATTAATTAATTAATTTTTAATCACGTTTGTAATTGTGAATTCTCGCAATTAACAATTAATTAGTTGTAATGGTTAAAATTCGCAACTAACAATTAATTAATTGTTAATCATTTTAATGTGTTTGATTGAAAACTAACAATTANCCAAAATATAAAGTGAAGTATAAAAGTATTTACATTTATTTTTCTTATTTATTTACTAATAAATACCATTAATTATGTTCTGTAATAAGGTGCCCTACTCCCTATGGTGTACGTACTCATGGGTATTCCATTACCACCCCCTTGCTTGTAAATATCATTGGGTTCGTAATCTACATCGTAATAAATACCGCTTTGGTTCTAAAAGAAATAAAAGTAATTACAATTAATTTTTTAATCAATAAATCAATCGATTGAAAGTTTGATTGATTAATGCCTAACACTATTAGCACCTATATTTATCTAAAATATACGTTTAAAAATATTGTTGTAAATGGCGATAGGTTCAGCACTACAAATTAAAGTAAACAAAGATTTAAATAATTGTTTATATTAATATCCTCAAGCAAGTAATATTAAAAAATTTGTTAGTGAAACTTTTTAAAATGTACTTTTTTGATAATAATTGAATAACATTAACCTTTTATTAATCAGTAACAATTTTACAACTCGGTGTTTTGTATTAATCTCTTTAATACACTAAAGAAAAGCAAATGGCTTTTTAATGTAATTTAACAGAATTTACCTCCTTCCAGTTAAAAGTCGACTCGGTAAGTGCTGCTCTCTACGACTGATTGTAAAAGTAAAAGAAAATCTAATTTTCTGACCAAATATGCGACAGTGCACGAGTCAGTTGGCAGTCATTAGAAGTCTTTAATTAGTACACAGGTTCCTTTATTTTTAATTAGTTTCGAAAATAGGTTTTTATAAATGAAGGTAATAGATAAAACCTTCACTGTATATAAAACTCTAAAAATGATTAAATTTCATTGAAAGGAAGTTTTAAAATATGTGCTAAACTATTTTTAATATTTGTTGTTTAAATAGACAGTAATATTGTAAATAAATCGCAGCTTCTTCAAGCTGTTTTTGTATAAACCTGATAACAAAATATGTTTATAAAATCCATAATTTTGATAGCACTCCAAAGTGTTAATTTAATTAAAAAAAGAGAACATATTTGTGCTATATTCGTAAAGCTTTTTTTAATGACAAGCCACATGCATGGATATAATTTAAAAAATTAATCGCGTTTTTTTTAAGGGTATTTATAACTTTCATAAATACAATTTTTGTCTCTAGGGCAATGTTTTACGAATAGTTTGTAAAATTCAAGACGATATCTTATGTTGCTTATATGTTATAAACCACTTAAACAATTTTACTGTCGCTTATTTAGACAGAAATCAATGCTTTTTTAATATCCTTTTATATTTCTTAAGATGTGTTTCTGTTTCAAATTTTTGAAGATTAATATTTGTTAAATTAATAAAAATACTTCATCTAAATAAATGCCATATATTTGAATTGTTACTGCTGTTGTAAATTGAGTGGTTTAATGTATTATAACAGATTAATTTCATAAATAAAAGAGGTGTGTTGACTGTGATGTAACTTTTTCCGCATGGTGCGCGCGCCATTTCCGTTGCATACTGTAGCAGACCTTTCAACGTATTGTGCGCTCGCAATTTACCTTGCATTCTAAAAGCTTAAAATAAAAGAGAATAATTTCGTAATGTTTTTTAAAACGATAATCAAAACCGTATAAATTATTAACTTTTTTTAGACACATATACCCTTGCCAGCAACTGGATGTACCAACAATTTTTTTCATTAATGCAAAAACGACTACTTTAAGAATCTATGCGTCGCGTCGCAGAAACGGTAAAAACGTTAGCAAGTTGTGTTTTGTTTGTCCTGTCGGAATGAAATTTGAATTTTAAATTAATTTAGCTGACCTCCTGGGATAAATTTAAGTCAGACTCGAGCGGTTGTTTATTGAATTTTCACTTACGCTTGATTATCTTCGATGGGGGAAAAGATTGAATGTAACTCTCGAAGTGAGAAGAGACGAACGTACTGTTTGCAGTATCATTAAAAAATCCCGTTATGAGAGAACAGGCAATGACAAAGATGAGGGGTAAAAACGAGGGCGTTATGGTAATTAGTGGAACTTTTTTAAACGTAAAGTTGTTTAAGAGTCGTCTAATTTAATGAGATTAAATATTAATTATTTAAAGGTCGATCCAGTTTTTGCTTTGCGCACAAACATTTAAATTTTATTAAACGTAAATGGGTGCAAACTGAACAATAACTACCTAACTGTATTTGTACCTAACTGTTTTTATTTTGTATTTTTAACAGTATTTAAACCGGTGAGTATTTAATAAAGGTAGATATAGTAATTATTAGGAATCTCTAAACTAAATGCAGTTTTCATAGGTAAATTGCTAAAAGATGAACTGAATTTATCCTATAATTGTAAAATCTAGTACCTATACCCGTATTCTGCTGTGTTTCAAAAACCAAAATATCAACTGACTAGGTACTGATACATTCATTTCAATGATGTTTAGTTTAGTTATGTTTGCATTGGTGTATTTAAATAGGTAATTTGATGATTTTTATAAAGTTATCCGTATAAATGAGTTCACGATAGTGTAGCTTTTAAAATACAAAAAAAATTAGTGAATCAGGAGCCAGGTTCTAACATTTTTGATTCCCTACAAAATTCTTTCTTGAGAATACGTTAATCCTTATAAAAATTTTAATAAAACATTTAGTAAGGTTTTCATAAAAAAAATATTTCATTTGATATAACAAAAATACTGGTATGCAAGGGAAGAAAAAGTACTTAGTTATAGAGCAAATGTAAAGGTAGGAGACGAAAGGTTAGAATAAGTGGCTAATTTTTTAGGTATCTAGGAAGTCAGATAAGTCAAAACGGAAGGAGTAGTAGGGATATAAAGTAGTTGATAGTGCAGAATAGAGTCGCCTTCAATGCTATGCCAGCGAATAATTAATTTAGAAATTCGAAAAAGATTGTTAAACGTGTATATATGGAACGCGGCGCTGTACGGCTGCGAAACATGGACAGTGAGCGTGGCGGAAAAGAAAAAGTTAGAAGCGTTGGAAATGTGGTGTTACCGGCGAATGATGAGAATACCATGGATAGAAAAGGTTAGAAATGAAGAGGTTTTAGAAAGAATAGGAGAACAGAGGACTATGAAAGTCAATAAGAAACAGGCGAGATAGGTTGGTAGGACACCTTCTCAAGCATGACAGTCTAGTCAGAGACATATTAGAGACAGAAACAGGAGTTAAGAGGAGTAGAGGTAGACCTATATTAGATTACTGTTCGCAAATAGTTAAGGATGTGGGATGTTCTAGTTTTAGGGAAATGCGAAGATTAGCTCAGGATAGCAAAGAGTGGAGGTGCGTGTCGAACCAGTCTTAGGACTGACGACCTTATGATGATGATGATAACGAAACAGGTAATAGCGCGAGTACCTACCTACATTCGCATTCGGAATATTTCTATGTATGCCTGCGTCTAACTGCTTTTGGTCAATTTCATAAAAACGTATATAAATTTTGTAGAAATAAAAAGAATTTCATAAAATAAAAAAAAATTTTTATTCCAATTAGACTATACATATAAAAAAATGACTTTTTATAATTTTTACAATACTTGGCATATATTTAATAAATACGAACTAAGTATAAGCATACGAAAAGTAATTAATTTAATAAATAATATAACGATAAAAATAACAAAACCAAAATATAAAGTGAAGTATAAAAGTATTTACATTTATTTTTCTTATTTATTTACTAATAAATACCATTAATTATGTTCTGTAATAAGGTGCCCTACTCCCTATGGTGTACGTACTCATGGGTATTCCATTACCACCCCCTTGCTTGTAAATATCATTGGGTTCGTAATCTACATCGTAATAAATACCGCTTTGGTTCTAAAAGAAATAAAAAAAAATAATTATATTTTTCTTCTTGCAGATTCTTTTTTTCTTGATAATACTAATTATTTATCTAATACTCATCGTATATTAATTACATACCGCTATTGATGCATTACTTCTACTTTTAGGTCGTGGAACTTGAAAGTTTCGTTCTAAATCAGCCTTGTCATCATCATCACTGGAACTACAATTATCTAAGGGTCTCATCCCTTGTAAACTGGCAGCGCGATTCGCTAATTGTGCTTGGATGCCGAGCCTAGGCATTGGAACTGGAGGAAGAGTACCTTGAATCGAACGTTGAATACTTCCAGCCATGGAAAGATTCGGATAACCAAACAAAGCTGAAGATGGTCGAGTTGGGACAGTTCCTGGCTCAGGCTAAAATGGCAAAAGTATGAAGGTAATAAAATAAACGTTAAACGTAAGGTAGATATTGTAACCATAACATAAACGGTAATGAAGTAAGACATCTTTGAAAATAATGTTAACACTTAAACATATTTTCTAACGAGAAAATACCACAAATGGCGCGGTAAACACCATCTATAGTACGATGCTACATTTTAGGATTACGTATGCTACAACAAGGTCCACTTAAATATATGGATATCTACTTGCTGAAACGAATCCCGGCGTAGCCAACCTCAACGTGATAGGCACGTTAGCTTAATCGAATAAAATAATTCGAAGTGGTCTGTATTCTGTCGAAACTGCCAGACGCGGATCGCGATTTCGATCTTTGTGGATCTCATCAGCGCTTCGCAGACAACGCCGACAGAACACAGACCAACTTTTACCTGATGTCTTAACAGTGTGTTTTAGAAAATACCACAAATGGCTGTAAACGTTTACCGCGCCATTTGTGATATTTTCTAAAACGCGTCTGGCAGTTTCGACAGAATACAGACCACTTCGAATTATTTTATTCATATTTTCTAACATTTATTCTTATTGGAGTTAAATTATGGTAAGATGAATCACCCTGTATAAGTTCAAATACTGTTTTCTTACAGCGTAATGGTTTGATTGTGCCATGACGTCGGCAATTTGTGCCCATCGTATCCGATCTTCCATGGTCACTTGATATGGAGGTCCTCCGACCACTGGGGTTTTCACGGTGCTTCCGGCTGTCCCCATATATCCAAATACCGGACTTGTAACAGCAGCTTTGTGTTCCTTATTCCATCTTCGACTAAAAATATATCATTCATAAAAACGATTTATAGAAGTTAAAATACTGTAAAATCAATTAGATGATGATGAAGAAATATTAAAATTCAAATTTAATATAGAATTTGAGTGCTTTTTATTATCAATTGTTAATTAAAAAGAAAGATATCTAAAAGTGTGAATATTCTCTATTTTACCTCCACATAACTAGACACACTAAGGTAAGGCCAATTATAATGACTGCAGCTACGCTGGCTCCAATGGCGACTCCCAAAATTTCACCATCTACTTCACACTGTGAACCGTAATAATTTCCTGAGCAACTGTAATAAAGAAGAATTATGTACTGATAAGAAAAGTAAGAGCCCTATCAACGAAAATAGACCATTAGACAGTTGTATGTCAAAGAAAAATGAATTACATCTTCATTTACTTAGTCAAAAAGGGTATAATTTTGTTCCTACTGCACAATGTATGCTCATCATCATAATAAGGTCGTCAGTCCTAAGACTGGTTGGACACGTACCTCCACTCTTTCCTATCCTGAGCTAAACTTCGCATTTCCCTAAAACTAGAACAGCCCACATCCTTAACTATTTGCGAACAGTAATCTTCTCTAGGTCTACCTGTACCCCTCCTATCTCCTGTTTCGCCTCTAACATGTCTCTAACTAGACCTTCATGCCTGAGAAGGTGTCCTACTAACCTATCTCGCCTATTTTTTATTGACTTCCATAGAGTCCTCTATTCTCCTATTCTTTCCAATACCTCTTCATTCCTAACCTTTTCTACCCACATTATCCTCATCATCCGCCTATAACACCGCATTTCGAACGCTTCTAATCTTTTATTTTCCGCCGCGCCCACTGTCCATGTTTCGCACCCGTACAACGCCGTGCTCCAAACATACAGCTTTAACAATCTTTTTCGAATTTCTAAATTAACACTGTACTAACTGTATTAACAATGTATGCTATTATATACACATATTTACATTTCTAGGTTTATTTTAATTTAAAATTTCATTGCCCATTCAGGTAAGTACATTGTAGCAGCTGTTAATCTTAACAACTGATTTATGGTATCGTATATTTAAAATACAGCAATAAGAACTTTAATATTCGCGTTCCAAAATTAATTACGTTACCAATTTTATGATAGATAAAGTTCGTTTATAGTAATAGCGCCAGTCCTCGCATAGTTGAATATCGCCTAAGTAAAATGAATATTGACTGTATGATTAAAAGTATCTGAACTAGGTAACGAATTTTGCCAGATTATAAGGAACATTGCATTCGCCGTGCAAGCCCTTTGTTTATCTTAATTAACGTAGTCGAACTGTCAATGTTTGCGGTCTTCCTCCACACTAAAAATTATTAATGGTCCAATTGTACTGGACAGAGGATATTGCGGCAGAACAATTTCAGCACGTCCGTGGACTAATTTAAATCTGCTAGGATTACGCGTCAAAAACTGCATTCTCCGCATATGTTCCGAACCGAAACAAAATATTAAACATTTGATAGTATAAGCTTCGAACACGGTCCCTTACGTAACCGGGTATTTGCATTCCTAAACATATCATCCTGGGCATTCGACGGTATGGCCTATTAAATTCCACAATGTGCACCGCGGTCGGAATGCTTGGCCTTCCTCATAGCCGCATACGATCCTAGCACCCGTATCAACATTAAGGGTACACAAACATGAACCTACATAATATCTATTTCTGAATAATGTGAAGGTAAGGTTGTAAGCTCGAAATAATAAAGGTGCTATAATCCACTGAAGACGTAAAGATGCCTATCATTATTCTTGTAATGAACTGTTACTCTTTAAATTACAATGTGAACATTTAATATGATTTTTAATGCAAATAAAACCCATCTAATTTTTCTTCAACTTTCATAATACAGTGTAAACTCTATATAACGTCACTTAAGGAACTGAACATTTTTCGGCGTTATAAAGAGTGGTCGTTAAATGGAGAGAAATACAAGATATTATTTTATTATTCTATAATAATATGCATTTACCAAGTACACATTTTGCACACGAACATTATTATTCACACATTGCGTATAGCCTGTTATCTTCGTCTGATGTTTTTTGCTGCTCCAGTATTTTAATTGTATTTTGTTACGTATCTTACTCGTATCTTGAGATACTGCTGGTTCAATTTGATTATATAAGAACTATTTTTTTAATAGTTTTGCTGCATCAAGTGCTTGTTTGATGCTTGGTGGAGGGACAGGATCGTCTTCTTCAACAACGTACACAGCTGCAGTTCTTATATATTTCGGCAACTTAGAAAGTACTGCTCAATGATTTATAATGCCGCATTGTTGTCGTTAAATAGAATGAGCGTGACGCTATATAGAGTGTAATATTGTATAGAAAACAATGTAAACCAAGCAAAGTCAAGCAATTTCGACGTTTTAAGGAGTTTGTCGTTAAATCGACTGACATTATGAAGAGTTTACACTGTATATATAAAGCATGATTTGTTTTTGTAAATTTACGTTTGCAATTAGAATAATTGTTAATTTAATTGGTCGTATGTTTTGGAAGGACTAACTATTCAAAAAACAAACTCCAAAGTCCGTTTTGGTTTATTTGTTAATGAAAGCGATAGAAAATGTAGTGATAAGCATTGAAAATCTGTTTTGTTAAATTCTGCTGTCTTTATTCTCCATAACTATCGTTGCAGAGAATTAACGCTCTAATGTTTATGGAAAAAATATTCAGAAATTTCATAATGAATCGAGTATTAGAATTCTATAAAGTTCTTATAACTCTATATACAATTGAAATACAAAGTATTTACAAAAAGAGTAAAAACATCTACTTACACGCAAACTTCTTGTCCATTTTGGTATTTACATTCCCCTCTGTTGTTACAATGTTGCGGTGAGCATTGTTCGCACGTGCGGCCGGCCCTGTGCTTGTTATCAGCCCATGGATCCTTGTAGCCTTCGGCGCACTCACATTTGAAACCACCAAATACGTTAATGCATTTTGCCGATACGTGGCAATCGTGTAATTCTGGTGAAGAACATTCATCCAAATCTGTAACCAAAGGAAATGAAAAACATCTGAAAACATGCTTCATTATTGCGAATGTATATTTGCTCATCATGAGAAACAGGAAATAAGAAATAATGCAGTTAAATGGACCGAATGTTTATCTCCTCAATCATAAATGAAAATTGTAATGAAGCTTTGATTTTGTAATTATTACAAACACACTAAAAATTGAATGTTTAGTAAAATTAAAAGTAGAGGTGATTCAGAATGTGATGAACCTTGGTCATGGGTTACGTAGTGACAAAACTTCACTCATTAATTTCTTCCTGTTTATAGTTTATCTGAGCTCCATCCCTCGTTATATACACTATACATACAGCGAGATATACGATTAACATCGTGGAATCAATGCTTTCGTAATGTATGTCTATAATATGAATGCAATAAGATCCGTCCCTGGCGCATGTGAAGACACATGGAATGTAGGACTAGCTATAGACTCTACAACATATGCAGCTATTAAATAATGATATTCAAAATTCTTCCCCTAAAGGCCAAATGGAAATAAATCATTTAAGAATATGGCAAACATTATAATATAATAAACTGCAAGTAGAAAATGCAGACCAAAAATATTTTCTCACAACTTTTCATCACTTTCCAGTTGGAACTTTATTATTAAATTTTATTTTTGATCGCCTTAATGTCTCTACAATGTTTGTCTACAAAATATTAAACAAAGGATCATGACTGTACACCCTGTACATAATGTCCATTTGAAAGTGAAACTGCAATATCGATCTTTTTATTTTATTTTTCTTTTTCGCTTTACGGCTAGTTTATAATGTGCTTCAGACTTTAATAGATACAGTTTAATGAGACTTTGGACGTTAAAGTCTGAAAAGCTTTCGATAATATGTAATAAATTCTCCGGAAGGATAAAAACGAACCAACAAATTAAGCTGCAAAAGATGGCTTAGTGGACTTTTTAATTAAAGCCTGAATTAAGCTTTTGATGGTATTACTTGCGGTATTAATCGTAAAGTTTCTTCACATTGCTCAGGTATTTAGAACGGTCAGTTTTACGTAATAATCCTCTTTTCAATTTTAAAAAATCGTTTAGCACAGCCGGATGCATAATATACTGTCGGCGGATATTGTGATACTAATACATAACGATTAATGTAGAACTGGCAAGGTGGACGATTTTACTCATAGAATCCGAGTGGATGTCATGTGGACAGTGCCACGCTGAACTTCATCAATATCTTTAAATATAGGCACCTGTACCATTATTACCTACGTTTTGTACACGAATGCGTGAGCCATTTAGTCAGTCGTTCCGCACTTCTTTTTAATGAACGAAAAATGCTGAGTCCTTTAATTTGATATATGATACCTACTAGCGATGCACCACTGAGCAAACATTATACAAAATAAATAAATACTACAACTGTATTAGTATTTTTGAAATATAATTATTAGGAGAACTGTCTGAGGGGAAGCTGAAAGTCCTGGACGTTCTTTTTTAAAGTAGGAAACCAAGAAGGGAATAATATTTGGAAAATATAAACATACTAGATACTAGGAAATAGATTTTGGCCCTACACTATAATAAAGTTATTTGCACAGGGAAAATATTATTATTAACAAAATTTTGCCTGCTGCAACGTGTATTAACGCTAATACTTCATAATACGTTCAAAATGTTACAGAGGGGTCGCTAAAAACTGACGCAAACACGCAGCTTTGCTGCAACGACCAATTCCATTTAAATTGTGTTTTGAAACCGGCCAAGTTCAGCCAACAGATAAAAGTAATAAATTTTTGGAACTTGTTTTATTATTCTAATAGATATATTAATTTTCAAAAAAATGAGAATTAAGATTTTGTTAAGTTCCCATAAGCTTCCGTTATAAAAATGAGGAACCAGATGCAGGAGCGGATGTGAAAATGTATTCGGAACTTCCGTAATTGCGGAAGCGGAAGCAGAACGGAAGTGCAACACTAGTACCTACATGTACTTACTTGCGATGCACGAATTGAGAGATGAAATTTTCTCGTGCCAGATTAGCCCTTATAACAAATCTGACATGTCTAGCCAGTTAGTAATACTTATATTTATATTTTTTCACTTCATATTACGCCTAAATTCGTCCTTGTTCGATTAAAAGATATAATTGAATTTTACCTTGTAGACTGGAAACGGCTCCCGGAGGACTGTCGACCCACAAAGCGCTGTTGCCAATGTTATTACTACGACGCTGGATGACTCCCAAGAGGTGACGTTGTATATCAGCCCTTACGGTAGGCCTTGAAGTTTCGACGCTTTCTTCAAGTTGTATGGTCAAATTGACGAAAACGCCAGCCTGGCCCAACGTCCTGTCGCCCCTGTAGATGCTGTTTACTTTTGCTCCCAGGAAAACGTCACTGAATGGTGTCATGGACATGGCCGAATCCATCTAGAAGAAAATATATCATACTAAGTACAAAATAACTTCTTGTACGGCATCAGAGTCTCTACCATTTGGAGAGTAAAATGCTGGAAAAGACTTGTTATGTTACAAAAAGTAGTTACGAATTAAAATGTATTCCGTCTTTTTTTACTATCCCATCAATCTTCGACGTATGTTCATAAATAGTTGCAGCGTACCGAGCGACCTTCTTCAGGGACTGAAGTGAACTATGTTCTACATAAAATACTACATAAATACCTAGGCCTACTTGTACCTACCGCTTTTTCCGTTTCGTAGGACAATTGCAAGTAGCTATCGCTCTCTCTGTTGGCCAATTCATTTGCCCAAACGATTCTGCGTTCATACAGTCTGTCAACCCTTAATGACAGTAGCATTTGGACCACCTTCCTGCAAGGATCCCGATGTTTTCTTCTTGCGTGACCAGGTCTACAGTGACATGCGCTAACTCCAGATTCTGTTTTGCACATCTCATGTTGAGAACCGTCGCAAGTTGAATCATCCCCTACTATGCAGGTGTCGATTCTAAAAGTGGAATCAAACGTAAGGTACTAAGCTTCACAAAACAGGATTAAGCTGTATTACCTTATTGTAGGTTGATTGGGCCTTCTTCCAAATGGCGGTCTCCTTGGAGGAGGCTTTGAAGAGGAAGGATGTGGGGTTTTTACAGGTTTGGCATTTTCGTCGGGTACAGCAAATCCAGTTCCTGTAACAGCTACAGTTGTAGGGGTGGACGGTGATATTTGGGGTGTGCGCGTCTGAGTTGATGTAGATTCGCCAAATAAGTTCAAATACGTCCGTTTTCCGTCAATTGAAACAAATCCTTCATCTCCAACTGGGCTAGTTATGACATCACCATTTTGGGCATGATCTAGTTCCACTGTTGAAATAATTTTTTTAATAAAGAGACAAATATTACTTACCGACTAATCTATTTTCGTTAAGTACCTGGAATAATAAAAGGTTTTCCATGACCTGCAGAAGCCGACCCACCGGGGCCTTGAATAGCAGACACTGTGATATCAAAGATGTCTCCTAATTGTCCTACTGGTGGTCTTGTGGTGATAACAGAAGGACGATACTGACCATCCCGTTTAAATTCTGTGTCATCTAAAACGATTCCTGGTCTTGGGCGGTAGGGGAAGTAAGAGAAACCTGTCGTAGCACTGGACTGGCTCTCTGAAACTTTTTCATTCGTTTAGTAAAATGTTATATCCATCATTTATAGAAATTATACCTTTGATGTTAGAAGTTGATTGTACAATAGGCGTGATATTTGCAATGGACAATGTGGACGAATCTAATGATGCAATAGGAGGAGTGCTAAATGTCGTTTCTGTGATTTTTTGGGGCACTTCCTGTATAGACGATTCTAACCGAGTAATGGAAACCACGGTGACTTGAGAAATATTTAGCGCGGAAGTGACATTGTCAGTATCCAAAAGAGTCGCATTAGTTTTGGTTGGTTCAATATTTGCAACTGTTTGAGTTGGTACTATACCAGTTCCGTTCAAAAGTAACAGAGAGCTGGTTGTCGCCTCCATTTCAGTTGCAGTATTTTTAACTGTTGTAGGAAAAGCTTTAACCGTATTTTTATCCATTTTTGAACTGCTCTTTTCTTTGTTTTTCTCGTAATTAAGTATGATTGGATCTTCTTTAGGTGTAGATACAGTTTCTACTACATTATTTACTGTTATCGGTTTGTTAGAAGCATCTTCGCTCAGTAGAGGTTCGGTATTTTTGTTTATTGTGTCAGAATCTTCTTCTGAAGAGGGTTGAAGTTCATCGCTCAGATTAAAAGTGAAAACGTCTTCATCCGGAAAATCGGACGTGAAGCTTGAATTTCGTTCTGCTGAAAACAACGGTATAGGCTTGTAGGGTGGTTTTGGTCTTCTCGGGGGAGTAGGTCTTCGTTGGGATGAATGTGTCCATGATGGATGACTTATTGGTCCAATATAGCTCGGTCTTTTATTAACGGGTCGCACCGGTGATGTTTTGTAAGGAGGAACGTCAAATGGATACGGGGTTATTGGCTTAGAGGATGTTACTGGTGGTGGCATTTGGTCGTACAATGGCTCGGGAAGTTGAGATGTCGGAATATCGAAGTTTGGGGGTAATGCTGGAACATCACTTATCCGAGGAGGTCCACGATTGTTAATTCGAGTTGAAACCGGTCTTATGGGTCTTCCTAAGCCTGGAGCAGTATTTGCTTGAACATTCACGTTCCCATTTAGGAGTTTGACGAGACCTGTGATGATTTCTTTGATGTCAGGGCTCATTTGGCGAGCTTTGTCGTATGGTTTGTATGATTGGGTAGCAAAAACCTCCGCCGTTTTCGTTGCAAAAGGTTGGATTTTTTGGGGCTCCGACAGTGTAAGGGAACGTGCCTGAAAATGGATACAGAATTAACTAATACATACAATAAAAATTTACCTACTAAATATCGTTTGGAACATGAAAAAAAAAAAACATTTTGATCCCACATTCGACTAAAAATATATCATTCATAAAAACGATTTATAGAAGTTAAAATACTGTAAAATCAATTAGATGATGATGAAGAAATATTAAAATTCAAATTTAATATAGANCGTTGCAAAAGGTTGGATGTTTTGGGGCTCCGACAGTGTAAGGGAACGTGCCTGAAAATGGATACAGAATTAACTAATACATACAATAAAAATTTACCTACTAAATATCGTTTGGAACATGAAAAAAAAAAAACATTTTGATCCCACAATATATAAAATTACGTCCACAGTTCCGTTTAAAATTCAATTATTCTTAATATTGAAATAGATTGTGTATACATATATGCTATTAAATACCAAATAATTTTATTCACAGCTTAACACAAAACACAAAAATACATAATAAAACTGGCATATTGGTACATTTGACCTGAATTTCGAAACTATACTGGTGTTTTAACTTATTGCCTACAAATAAACACACATTACTATGGTGACTTAATCTCTAAGAGCAAAAACTTTCTTTACATTTAACTCTTTTTAAATCCGTAATTTGTATTTACCATTTTATATGATTCTGAAAGAGGATTATTTATTTTTTCAAATAATTTGCTAAAATTTTACATATCAACCTTAACCAATGATGTTAATAAAAAAATACATCAACTACAGGAAACGATTCCTTTAATTGATTATGGAGTTTCAACAAGTAAAGTCTTCTATCATTGATTATCAAAAATCATCTTTACATCTTTAGCAATTTGAAGAATATACATCTTGCACTTTTGTTGTATTTCATTCAGTTCTACATCAGTTTATTCAAGTTTTGAAACAATTTTGATGAATGAAAATAAAATGTGTGCGAGAAAAATTTAATGTATAATACGTAGACAATGTTTTTTTTGTTCAAGAGAGTTATTTTATTATTATTGGGTTAATCTTTTTAATTATTATTTTATTTCCAAATAGCTCAATTTCTCCCTGAATTATTTCTGAATCCGTCCCTGCTATTGGTGAGTTATAAGATTTCGCCAGTATTCATTCTAAACTTATATAAGTACACTTAATGATTGTCTTTTTTATTACAAAACTGTAGTCCTGGTCCGTACATATAAAAAAAAAAAAGAAAAATTAATCATAAAATCAGCATACCTGCGGAGCCCCTTGTCCTTCCCCCGACATCTCTTGTTCCTTTGTTTCTACCACTTTTTTGTTTACTTCTCCAATAATTGTTCGAGAAGGTTCAATATACGCTCTTCTCCCCGATAATTCTACTTCATTTGAATCAAGATTAACAAAATTTTTAGAAGTCAATAGATCATCTAATCCATTTGTTTTCAGAATCACTATCTCTGAATCGGCCGGTTTCTGGAAACCATTTTCACTATTTACGGCATTAGTTTCGCTTAATTTCGTTATTATCTCATCGTTGTTGACAGCTTTTGAACTTTCTATTGCACTAGGACCGTACGTCACGTCCAGCTTTCGACCTGGGAATTCCCCATCAACTAATGCGGATTTCGGAGAAATGTATGTATTGGAATAAAACTCTTCTTCGGCTAAAACGGAACAGAACTTTCTTAATGGTCTTATTTAAATTTATGTCTCTAATAAAATGTAAAAATCAATTAAACACTTTATTACTTTCATTGATGTACATATATAAAATTATATAACATTAGATTGTACCTGGAACTTCCTAAATATGTGTAAAAGATCATAGATAAAACTAATTTTGTATACTTCAGGAACCGTTTCGTTTTTTTTAGATAAAACATACCCTATATCCTTTTCTGTACCTTTGACAATATGTGTACAAAATTTCATTATGATTGATTGAGTAGTTAAGGCGTGAATGTGGAACAAACAAACTCACATTCGCATTTATAATATTAGGATATACGAATTGATAAATTAGTAATTTTTTTGAGTAGTATATATTACAATCATATCATCAGTATGTAGAAACGTAAGCAGTCCAGGACGCCCGTGATTCTTTTTAAAGGAAGTCTAGTGGAACAACAAGGAGTAAAAACAAGACAACCGGAAAAAAGTTCAACGATGTATGAAGTTACAACTGAAAGGTTTGAAATGTACAGTTAGGTTGCATATTTTAAACAACGTTTCTTAATCAAATATATCTAAACTGTTCAAGTTTCACTGCATAACGGAATATGATACCAGTGTAAATGGCAAATTTTTTGTAAGTAGGTAATTTCATTAATAGAAATATTAGTAGGTTCGCATAATATACGAATTATACAGGAGACTAAATCCAGAAAGTACAAATATATGTATAATAACAGTTAGATGAAAGGTAGGATGTTATTTTAGTGGTTCTGTTAAGGATGTTTGGGAAGTACAATCGGAGACAAG